TCCTTGAATCCATTTTTTCCCTTGCAGTAATCTTTTGTTAGTAAGGGTTGTCCTGGTATATATTTGCATTTTACTGCTCCATGATGATGGTTGAAATGTTCTTCCATCACCGTGTTCTTTTCTAGGGAATCGTTCGTAGTTGGATGGATCACATCTATATACAAACAAATTTTACATTTCACCAGTGATACTGCTGGTGAATTTCCATTGAATAGGGTATAGCTATGCATCTTCCGAGGAATATTTCTTGTGTGGTTCCCACCCACCTTCGAGTTTGACGAAGTGTCCTCTTAAAAGTATCTACAAAAACACTCTACTTGTCCATTTGATTGTGTATGAAAAGATCGTGTCTTAATGTGTTGAATACCATTCTGTTCGCAGAAAGTTGAAAATGCAGCTGAAGTGAAAATAGTTCTATTATCAAAAACAAATATTTGTGGAACTCCAAATCAACAAAAGATTTGCTTTAACTTAACAATTATTTCATCCGAAATGTGATTCATCTAAAAAAATCATTGTAAGCATCAACGAGGATAAAATAATTCTGCCCCTTGTTGGATCAAGCAAAATCAATGAATGGCTGAATTCTTTTGCCAGTGCATATTTATGGCCATTTTGTACAATTGAAGCATAACTTTTTGTAACACTGGATTAGAAGCTGTGGCTTCACGGATGATTGTAGAAGTGACTGGTAATTCTCTTACAGTGGACTTCTGGCTCTAGAGATAATGCTGCAATGGCTGAGTCTTCTGGTACTTTATTTTGTGTAGCCATGAGCCAAGATAATGCATCGGCATGACCAACTGCATTGATTGAATTGTATTTTATAGTAAAATTATATTCTAGCAGTATAATAGCCCATCTTTGCAGACGGTTTCCTCTATACACTGGGATACACCTTTTAAGATCCAGTATTATTAACAAGAGGCTTGTGGTATGCGATCAGAGTGAAATGACGTCTGTACAGCATTTTGTGCACACTTTTAATAGCAAAGACTATTGCTAATGGTTCTTTCAGTTTGGCTATAATTACGCTCTGCGTGTTTCAGGGATCTGGATGCTTAAGGTATTGCCCTTTGGCTGCCACAAGGAAAATCCATAGATGGGTTGTAGCGTGTCAGCAAAAGATTGGGAGAAAGTAAGGACTTTACCTTTTTGAAAGCTACCTGACACGTGTCAGATCACTCCCATGCAACATCTTTCAAAAGATTATTGAGATGTGCACGAACTCGATGAAGTTCAGGCAAAAAAGCTCTGTAGTGGCTAAACAAGCAAAGGAAAGAACGTAATTTTGTTACATTTGTCGGTGCCGGTATGTTTTTTATTGCTGAGATATTTTCTAGGTGTAGTCGTGTACCATTTTTGTCGAAAATAAACCTCAGATATTTTATTTCTTCTTGGAAAAATTCACACTTATCAGGTTTAACACGTAATCCATATTGTTGAATTCGGATGAAAACAGAAAATAAACGTTGTAAAAGTTCATCTTGAGTTGCACCTGCAACGATGATGTCATCGATGAATGTTGAAACTTCTGTTAATCCGGTCAGCATGACATTCATTGGCTCTGATTTGACCCCGAAGCTAAAACGGTTAGATCTGAATAATCTCTTGTAGGTGTTGATAATAAGGAGCTCTTTGGACTTCTTGTCACCTTCCAGTTGAAGAAAAGCATCAGAAAGATTAAAACCTTTGCAAAGCAATTTCCGCCGTTCAGTTTTGTGTAAGTGATTACTAATGAGCATCCAAAGAATCATTCAATACAGTCAAGTAATTAACACATATCCGGACTTTTTCCATTTGCCTTTTTAACAACTACAATAGGAGCTGTCCACGTGAAGTAATTCAAGCTCTATTACACCTAGCTGAAGACGTTGCAGTTGTTTTTCAACCATATTCAGAGCAGTATAGGGTACTGGCCTTTTTGTCTAAATTCGACTTAGAAACTAGTTTTAATTTCAGAGTAGCTTTAATTTTTGTAAGTCAATCAAGTCGATCTTGACAAACGTCACTAAACTTATTTTTAAGTTTGTCCATAAAATGATTTTCAATATCAGAGACCGACGTAAGGTTAATGTATTGGACACAGATTTGTGAGGAATTTCAAAAATGTTAAGTTGTTCTATGCAGTCAAGGCCAATTAAATTTAATTCCGAATTATCTGCGACATAACACACACCATAAAATGTTTTATTTTGAAAGGAAACATCGCAAATTAACTCACCAGTTAAACGAATTGTTCTTCTGAATGCACCCTTGCTACATTATTTGTTTCAGACACACATGGCTTTTTAATCTGTTCCCAAGTCGCATGCGATATTAACGACGCTGTATCAAACTGGAAACGAACTGGTTTGTTGTTTACAGAAACAATAATATATTTTCTGCGGGATTCGTAATCCACTTTGAACATCTCAAACACTGAAAACCAAAAATTTATACCCCCCCACACACACACACACCAAAAAAAATATTGCACTTATGTTTCTTGAGCGGATAAAAAAGGCTGCATAATGCCAGTTGCCACAAGGCTAACATTTTGAGGAAGGTTTCTTTTCATCACAAGTTTGTTTTTTCGCGTGGATGTTGCTGGTCATAAATCATCGCTTTTGTTTTTTGGAATCAGCATTTTCTCTTGGATCTTTTCTCTGTATAAATGAATGAAATTTCCTCAGACGTGAAGAACTTAGCTAGAATTCTGAAAAAATATTACTTTAACAATCATTGAATACAAGAATAGTGGTAAAAATGAACAATAATGACGAAGGAAAAGCTAATAGACAACTATAGATTTGTGAACACATTCATTTTCAGGTTATCTTTATGCTAGCAATATATCGTATGCGTTTATATATCCTTATTTAAATGTATTGATAACTTGTTTCGGGTGTCACTTTTTATTATGCAGAAATGTACAATATAACTTTTTATTGATAAATAAATAAAAACGTTATAGGTCATATAATCATATCTGGTCAGCGCAACGTCCCCTATACATGAATAAAGTATTTCTTATTTTACATTTAAACTAATTGATATTCTAGCACCTTCATTAGTCTTTCCATCGTTGGTTTTGTTCTTTTCAACTGTTTAGACTTTAGCAGTTACTTGCAGCAATTTTTATTGTTTTCAATTTCCTTTAATGAGGGATAAGTTTTCTACTTGATTAATATTTGGAGAAATTAAAGGCTACTCCATTAATTTTCTGTTTTTTTAAACATCTTTGGCAGTATTGCAGAATATGAAGAAATATTGCCTTGTATGGATATTCTCTTCTGCTTAAAGCTTCTTGGTTGTAACCTGAACTACTTAAAAAAACGTCTTGCCTAAGAACTCACAGTAACTATCCGCATTTATTTTGATACTATCACCACGAGCTATAATTTTACTGCCTACAATTCTAGCCCAAAACATTTATCCACTTTTTCATTGCGTTTTTAAAGTCGTGTTAGTTGACTATTTCATGAAGGATACAACTTCTAGCTCACTCATCATACCTAACCAATGTAGTCACTAAAAATGACTTTTCATCACTAAAAATGACTTGTATGAAATCAGTTTTCATGTATTCCTCAATCAACTTACAAATTATTTTTGTCTTGTTCATTTAAATGCCGTAGTTTGGATGCACGGTTAAGTAATGGATAGCTGCTCGGATTGAGGAATCAGAGAGCTGAGTTCGAATTCCGGTCGAATCTATTACATTCACTTACGTACTAATACCCTTGAGATAGGTATGAATCCACTTCTTCTCTCCCAGCTATGGGTAAATAGTAGGACAGAGTAATGGGTTCTATAGCATTGGATGGAAACTGGTCTACCGTAGAAAGAAATGGTAACTTCTACTGCGAGAAAAAATCTGCCTCGTCAGTCATGTATCGAAAGATACATGATCGTTTAAGCATGTATCACGCATGGCACATAGCTGAGTTTGGCTGCTATCATTTCTTTAGCTAATGTTTTAATATTCTAATTATTTTCTCTTTTCGCCAGAATAAATTCTTCAGATATTCGCTGGCCAAACAAACTTTCTTGCTAATTACTCTTTTAATTTATTTTTCAAATCTCTCCTTGTGACATTCTTAAAGTCAATCAGTGTTCAGCATCTTTCCAATTTCCTCTCAATAAATTTATCATTCTTACATGGCAGTCTTTTTAAAATTAAAAATAAATGAAAAAATTAAAAATAAATATCAATATCATCTTAGGAAGAGGTGCAGAAATGTTCTCGGCCTGGCCAAGTTCTGAATTTTATTCAAACCCACAAACAGAATTTCGATAGACAAGGTTTCCTGCTAGAGCCGAGTACTTTTTAGCACCCCACTATGTTATTGTATGCCTAGCTCTATATGTATTTATATACACTGTTAAACTAGTATTATGTAACTGATGTTAGTAAATTTTTCACCGAAGTTAAGCAACGCCGAGCCTGTTCACTACCTAGATGGGTGACCACTTGGGAATAGCAGGTGCTGTAAGCTTGGATGTGTGAGTGGTGTAATGGATAATGACTGCTCGGAATTGTTAACTGAAGAGCCGAATTTCAATTTCTGTTGGGTTCGTTATATTCACTTACGCGCAAATATTCTTAGAAAAAGTATGACTCCACTTCTTCTCCCCCAGTTATGGGTTAATTAATAAAACTTGTATAATTAAACCATTATTATCTTCACCACCAGAAAATTCTTACAATCAAAAATATTTTCTGGCTTTAAATAACCTGCAAAAATTTGATAAGCCGTAGAAAACGAATCAGTCAGTCAGTCAATCAGTCAACAAACCCACTTCCCCAAAATCTCATCAAATGGCCAAACATCGGGTGGAGATCTTTAATTTTAAGTCTTTCTTTGGCGTTTATGTTTGTTGATGAGAAGAAAAGCATATGTGTATGACATATGTGTGTGTGTGTGTGTGTGTGTGTGTGTGTGTGTGTGTGTGTGTGTGTGTGTGTGTAATTAATTATCTATCTAGAAGTAGGAAATCGTCTGATCTTTGATGAGATGAACCCAAGCAATTTCGGCTTTTCTGTCTTGAACCGCCTTCCTTTCCTCCACCTTCTGACTCTCAACACACTCCCGTTTTTTTTTTCACTTTTGAAATCACTAATTTTTTTTCAAGGACGTTTTCAGTTCATCTTCATCGTTGAATAAAAGCCGAACAGACAAGAGCTAAGGAAGCGAACAACGAATTAAACAGACATTGATTTCATGGAAATAGGATTGGTTTGCTTATGTCTTTCTCAATTTACAAGGTCATCAGAAGATCCATCATTTCTTTGCATTCTTCCTCCTTCACACACTATCTTTCCTTCTAATCATCTCTCTTTCTCCTCTCTTCTTTATTCCTTTCTCCTCTCTTCTTTCTCCTCCTCTTTTCTTCTTTCTCCTCTCTTCTTTTGTTCATTCTCTCCTTTTTTTTAATACCATTTTATATTTATTTTCCCTTTTTTCTCATTCACCCTCATCAGACATTTAAACGCCTTTCTCCTTCCTCTATCTTTATTTTCTCTTTTTCCTTCTTCATTACTGTTTTCTTCAACAATTTTTTCGCTTTTCTTTATTTCTTTTCTTCTTCTGTTGTCATTCCTTCAAATTCGATTCCCGTCTGCTCTATTTTGAGTTCAGCCTTACTCTTCTCTCACTCCAGCTATTTCCTTTTTCTCTTCGTTCTTGTGAAGAACAAGGCGACAAAAGAAGAAAAAATTTCGTTCCCTTTTGTCAGCAATTCTATTTTGTCTTTTTATTTAAATATCTTGAATTTCGATTTTTCCTACATCCTTCTTTCTTCGGCCGCTTTCTCTCCTTCCATTCAGCTGACGATAGCAAGAAAAAATATTCGCCGATGGGAAAATAGGTACTGGCCGTGGCTGAACTGGTAGGTGTGTTCGGAATGTTCGAGATTTGCTTGCATTTTCCATTATCTTAATCCATCAAAGACAATTTTGATTTGTAAATCCTATAAAGGAATTTTCTTCTGTTTTTGTTTGTTTTTATTTTTCTTAGTTTTCATTGCGTGCACGTCTGATGCTGTTCCTGGTAAGATGAGAGAGAGAATGTGTGTATGTGTGTGAGAGAGATGTGTGTGTGTGTGTGAGAGAGAAAGAGAGAGAATAATCTAGATATGTGCGTTTTATAACCTGTTAGTGTGCTTATGTGTGTGTGCATGTGAAAAATTTGTATCTATGTAAGCTGAATGATTTTTTTAAATTGAAAATCCAATTTAGTCGATACCATTTATTCGATTTTTGTATTTGTCCCTGTTTTCCTTCTTCCCCGCCTATGTTGATTTCCTTTCGCTACCCCGCTTTTTTCCTTCTTCATTTACTCTCTTGATGTTTCTTTCTCAACTTCTTTTCATCTTTCTCTCTCTCTCTATCTCTCTATCTCTCTCTCTCTCGCTATTCTTCCACTTTTCTTTCCTATTTCTTCATACTTTCACTTCCTTCCGCTTTTTCGATATCAATTTGTTTTATTCTTTCTTTCATCACATACTCTGTTTTTTCTTCTTTCCATTCATGCTAATCTCTTAGTCTTTTGCTACTGCTACATTCTCTCTATATCTTTCTCTCTCTCTCTCTCTTGCTCTTCTTTTTCTTCATCTTCTTCCTAATTTTCACTTACTTTCACCTTCTCTTCTTTCTTCTTATTCTTCTTTCCTGCGTTTAATGATCTTCTTCGTCTACCCTCTCTTCACTTTTCTCATCGGTTTTTGCTTTTGTTCTGACGACTCCTCCCACTTCATTTTTACCCCTCCCTCTTTCCTTCCTTTTATTTTCTTTCCTCTTATTCTGCTATTCTTTCTCGCTGTTTCCTCCTCTCTTCGATCTGTTTATATCCAGTCTCTTGTTCTATTATACAGTTCACTGGATTATTTCCTTCAGACGAGAAGCGTGCAGGATTAATATAAAAATTATTATTTCCCTACAGTATTTTTCTTTTCCTTATTTCTGTCGTTCTTTTCTTTGCTTGTTTCATTTTAGTCAGAAGAAAAGCAATGAAACTTGTCTTTGTTTCTTCTTTTTAAGTTTTAGCTTTTATAAAAGATAAAAGAAGAATTCAGGATGCGATATCGCAGCTTGGATGAACTCAAAAGAATTTCTTTTCTTTTTTTTCCATTCTTTTTTTTCCCATTCTTTTCTTTTTAAAGCATTGATCAATTGTTTCACTGATAGAAAGAGGTAGAGACGTTTCAATTGCATTTGAAAGAATACCTTACTGACCTGAATTGGGGAATCACAATAGAGAAAGAAAAATAAACAAAGAAAAATGAGTTCAATTTTGGTATGTTTCTCTCTTTGAGGGTTTAAGCTCAAGAAATGATTGATTTAATTGACTCATTAAGACTTGATTCAAGACCGGTACTAAGATGAAAATAAATACGAACTTTTATCTTTTTTTTTATTAAGTATTCTCAATTTTGCCCAAGTTCGGATTGTCTTTAATTACTTTTATTGAAACTTGTACCAATGCTGGTCAGATTTTTTGTGCGTATGTGTTTAGCTTTAACATTTTTATTTAGAATAATTGTATTTAACCAATCCATTAAGACTTAACTTTTAAACTCTACATTATTAAATGATCATTTTATTGGCACAAATAATTACTGCTGTAGATATTTTAATATGAAATATATTACCTCTTACAGCCGATGATCTGACCATTATCTGATATGTGTGCGCGCGCGCGTGCGTGCGTGCGTGCGTGCGTGCGTGCGTGTGTTAAAAAGAAGAGAGAAACCGCAAACGTTTTTGGTTGTAATGTGGATTTTTAAAATATATATTATGTTTTATTTTCCATAATTTTGCAACACGGGTTTCGGGTCTTGTAACATTCTTCAGGCAAAGAGTGGATATGTCCACATATTATTAAAATGGATTAATTCTCCTTATGTTTTTCGACGTTAAACATTCTCTTTTTATGTGTGGTAGTGACACAAATGTCTTTCTTGAACTGGCAGTGAGAAAGTTCTTCTGCTTGAAGGGTAATAAAACAATTAAGATTGATCCGAGAAAAGGTGAGGAAATATATCTGTATTCTTATCTTTTAATGACCCCTGTGTATTCTAAGAACACACAGGGGTCATTGAAAGATAAGATCTATTTCCATGAAGTTTTTCCTTGTATTTGTAGGTAAGGATAATTGTCTGTTTGATATATTGGCATAGTTTTAAATTCACCCTGGTTACATTTATAGATGTGTTGGTGATACAAAAAGTTTTCTGTTGTCTGGTAATTTGATGTTGCTTTTGTAGAAGGAAACTCTGTTGTTTAATTTTGACTGATACCTATATAGAACTTCTTGTATTTGTGCATTTGAGTGCATAAATCACATTTTTGGAGTTGCAGTTTGTTATGGGGTTCACCCTTTTCGGATATAATGGACTTGTCCTGCTGCCATAAAATAGCCACAGTCAGGCAGAGAAGATGAGTCGTACAAGAGTCGTACAAGAGTCGTACAGGAGTCGTCTGTGAGTGTCAGTACTCGGATAGAGTGAAGTAACCTCTTGTAGAAGTCAGTTACAAGCACGTAGACTCTAAGGAAGTCCTACTTCGAGACTGTATATATCTATCTGTATTTGCTACTAACCGTGTTCCTGGATTTTACTAACAGCATTACCTTTTGTATTTTGTGTAAATACATTTAATTTCTTAGCTTAAATTCTTGCGTTTGTCATTTATTGGATACCTATTTTTCACGCGGGATCCACAACACCTTGGCGAACGAGGATTCGAAACTTTTCGTACGCCTAACCAACAACAACTTGGCCACAAAGATTCAAACCCAAGCGGAAAAAAAGAGAAATAGAAAAATCCTTCCCTCGTCGTCCAACAACAAATTAGCGACAAACAATTTTCGAAGAGTAAAAATACAGAAAATTGAGTTATCATGGAAGATTTTAAAAATATGTTGGTAGAACTAATAAAGCACCAAAATGAGAAACAGTTACAGCTACAAGAAATATGGCAAAAGCAATTATTACAAACGCAAATGGAAAATCAAGATAGACAAACAGAGCTCCAGGAACTAATATTGAAAGTAGCAGGCAACAAGCAGTTAGATATTGAAAAAGAAGCAACATTTTCGCAAGACGCAGTGTGGAATACCATAGAGATTTTTAAATATTCTCTAGATGAGGACAAAAATTTTGGAGATTACTTCAGAAGACATGAAGACATCTTTTAACATAGACTGTCAAAATTGGACAGAAGCGAAAAGCTACGTCTATTGTTTAGAAAATTAGGAACTGAAGAATATACAAAGTTCGTGGATTATATCTTGCCAAAAAAGACGAACGAATTAAAATTTGACGAAACAGTGACATGTCTTAAAGAACTCTTCAGCCCCCAAAACATCACTCTTCCATAGGAGGTGGAAATGCCTTAACCTGGTAAAGGGCGATAATGAGGATTATTCCACGTTTGCCGTGATCGTAAATAAACGTTGTGACGACTTCAAACTAGTGGAATTAACACCGGATATTTTTAAATGTCTCATCTTTGTTCAAGGGCTAGTTTCTACAAAAGACAGCGAAATTCGTAGAAGAATGCTGGCAAAATTACAAAATGAACCGGGTCTAACATTACAGCAATTATCAGAAGATTGCCAGAGATGTTTAAGCATTAAGAAAGACGCAAAGGACATTGAAGAATCGGTTGTTTCTCATATGCGTAAGTTAAACAAAATCTACGTTCTTCACCCCTCCCCGGAAAGAAAACTAAAAATTTTACGACAATGAAAAAAGATTCTCACCCTCCCCGGAAAGAAAAATAAAATTTTATGATAAGAGAAAAACTACAACATACAGAACAAATTATGACAAATATCGAAACAAATATAATCCCCCTCCAGCAGCATGTTATCGATGTGGAGGATTACATTGGAACAAGGATTGCTGCTTCAGATATAAAAAATGTCATGAATGTGGGAAAAAAGGCCACAAGGCATCCCAATGTAGAAATAGAAAAGATACTAATAGAATAAGAGCTACAAGGATGAATAATGATGACAACACCAATGTAAGGAAATATGTAGAAATGGAAATTTTAAACAAAAAGATTAAATTACAATTGGATTCGGGTTCCGATCTCACGATAATCAACTTACAGACATGGAAAAAACTCAATAGACCTACGATGTTACACACTCAAAAAATTGACAAATCGGTGACAGGAAAACGAATAAAATTTGAGGAAGAAATAATAGTGAATGTTAAATTTCACGGTAAAACAAAAAAAAACTGAATATATACGTCATGAAAGATACCTACTAAGTTTTTAAACTTAGTAGGTATCGACTGGATGCAGAAATTCAACGTTTGGGACCTACCTATTAACTCGTTTTGCAAAAAGCTAGAGGTTGAACAATCCGACACTATAAAAAGAAAGAAGAAAAAAGAAAAAGAAAGAAGAGCAGAATTAATGTTCGCGCGGAAAATAAGATCGGTGTTTGATAAACTATTACCGAGCAAGAGCAAAAATCAATATACACCGATGGTGCCAAAGAGATCATTCAAACCTGGAGAACGGGTTTATTTCAAAAATTTTAGAAACAATATGTCATACTGGGAGCCGGGCAGTAATCAATAGAATCGGAAATCTAATGTATACCATAAAAAAGGCGAAAAGTTCACACAGAAGACATATCGACCAGCTACAGAAAAGACGAATTGAGGAACCAAGCCCGTCAACCGTAGAAGATGACGACGCTATGGATAGAATCTTTGAAGCGTTTGAGATACAAAAGACCGCAGGAAAATACACTAATGAGAAGGTCAAATAGGAAAAGAAAATTAGTCGAACCACTAATCATCAACCACAAGAGACAAAAAATATTAACTCCCCCAAAAGGGATCTAAGGAGGGGGGTTTATGGGTCCACCCCTTTTCGGATATAATGGACTCGTCCTGCTGCCATAAAATAGCCACAGTCAGGCAGAGAAGAAGAGTCGTACCAGAGTCGTCTGTGAGTGTCGGTGGTCGGATGGAGTGAAGTAACCTCTTGTAGAAGTCAGTTACAAGCACGTAGACTCTAAGGAAGTCCTACTTCGAGACTGTATATATCTATCTGTATTTGCTACTAACCGTGTTCCTGGATTTTACTAACAGCATTACCTTTTGTATTTTGTGTAAATACATTTAATTTCTTAGCTTAAATACTTGCGTTTGTCATTTATTGGATACCTATTTTTCACGCGGGATCCACAACACAGTTTAAATTTTTATTTATTATAAATGTCGTTTTGGGGTTTTCAAAAGTGTAGGAGTTTCCTTCTATAATGATGTCACAAACCCCACATCTTTTTCGTTGCGTTTTGTAACTCACTGTATTGTGTGTTGGTTAAATTTGGATGGGGTTATGTTTCAGTTTTTAATTATTTTGGTTGTTTTTAGTATATTTTTCAATTTGTCATTCTTGCTAAGTAGGTGTAGATTTTTTGTAATTTCTGTAAATAGTTCTGGATTGTTCTTGTATGTTGAGACATATGCTAGAGTTTGTTCAACGTTATGTTTCTTTGGATTTCGTATTAGTCT